AAAAAAAGACAATGATAAGGGTTAGTCTAAATATGACCATTAGCAATAAAGATTTTGCCCATTTTGTCCAATTATCCTTGCAGGTAAAATCACCCTGCACTGTACCTCAATAAGCACAAAAGGAATATTTCTGTGACTTTGTATAAAGGTGTGGCCTAAATAAGGTAAGGGAGGGGGGTTTAGCTTATTTAGGCCACCTGTGGCCTAAATAAGGTAAAGGAGGGGGGTTTAGCTTATTTAGGCCATATGTGGCCTAAATAAGGTCACCCTAATAAATAATAATATTAATAATAAATTGACAGTTGACAGAGTCACAGTTGAACCTGTGCAAACAACGGCTTCCCATTTTTTTCTGTATCTATATGGGTTCCCTATTTACATATATATTCTAATGACAAAGTTCATTGTGGACATAGAGCATACTGACCAGCTGCAGCCGGTAGGGAACCTCGTTGAGCAGGTTGTCCAGCAGGGCCTGTCTGACGGAGAGCTTGACCACGTCCTCCGGCCGCTGGTCAGTGACCAGACTGCTGTGGTAGGGCCAGGGCCCGGCCTGCGCTCCCTCCAACAGGTACTCCTGCCACACAGGTCAGGGGGAGTTTTAGTTTATGTGTTAGGAAGGTTTGGTTTTAGTTTTTGGTTTAGAAAGTTTTGCTTTTAGTTTTAGGTTTAGGAAGTTTTGTTTTAATTTTAGTTTAAGGAAGGTTTTACGGTGCTCACAACGGCATATAAGGTTTTATGAGTGCCAAGGGGTGGATGTCATTTTTTTTTCCTAAAAGTTTTATGGCATTCACAACACAATAAGGTCATAAGTGCCAAGGGGTGGATGTCATTTTTTTTTTCCATAAAAGTTTAACAGCATTTGCAACACTATAAGGTCATATATATAAGTGCCGAAGATTAGAGGAGTTACAAAGGAGTAACCTACACAAAAAAGGAGGAGAAATAAGGACAATAGATGTTTGATAGAAAATAAGGAGCAACCACACCAGAGCACCCGCCAACCACCCACCTGGGTAGACCAAAGTGTTAATCTAAAGACAGAAATGCCTTCCGCTGACCTCTGAGCCCCCACATCCTACCTTCAACTCCTTGATTCCCTCCCCTCGGAGCGAGGAAACGCTGAACACCTGGTCAAACAACGGCCACCCCCGCCGCGACCCCACCACCCGCGTAGCCTGCCTCAGCTCGTTGAAGTACTGGTCCCAGCTCAGCTCGCCCGACCTCACCGCCTCATCCACGGGGGCGCGAAGTTCCGCCGGTATCGCTGGAAAACACACCGGTCAGCAGTTGTATACGTACGTGTATCAGCAACGCCTGTTATGCATTGTTTTGGTAAGAGTTTTACGGCACTAGCAACACAATAAGGTCATACAAGTGCCGAAGATTAGAGGTGTTACAAGAGAGTAACAAACACAAAAAGGGAGGAGGAGGGATCAGGATGACATAAGCTTGATAGGAAAGAAGGAGCAAACCACACCAGAACACCCGCCAACCACCCACTTTATAGAGAGGCGACCTAAAATTACTAATAATATAAAAGAAAAAAATCAGGACGTGGGCACCATGTCGCTGTACAGAGGATGTCGTTATATCGAAGGTCGTTATAGAGAGGCTGCACTGTACTCCACAGTGTGTGTGATGTGTTTGCTCTAGTGAACACAAGGCAATGATAAGGTTAGTTTTTGTTTTAGTAGAGGTTTTACGGCACTCGCAACTGCATAAGGTCATAGGAGCACCAGAAGATTAGAGCTGTTACAAGAGAGTAACAAACATAAAAAAGAAGAAGGGGAGATAATGACGATAGATGTTTGATAGGAAAGAAGGAGCAAACCGCACCAGAGCACCCGCCAACCACCCACATGATAAGGTTAGTTTTGTAAACGGTAGACTGTACATTGCTAGTTTATATAATATGGTTATGATTCACTTTTTCCAATGACACAGTCTGAAACCTAACTAAAACAAAACACAAATTATATTATATTTCATGCTACAGCTACCATGACCAGAAAAACTGTGAAAATGTTCCAGCAAACATCAAAAGAGGAAGGGTATCCCTTCACTCTTCACAGCCAGTTGGACAAAAAGATCTAACTCTAACTCTCAGGCAGTTGACAAATACAATAATACCAGCATTTATATGCGCATACCCCCGCTCTACAGCAAGCTCTTTGCTCTTTACAACTATCATTGCCCCAACAGATCCTTGAACCCTCAGAAACATTCTCGGCTTCTCGGAAAGCATGCAGTGCAAACAGCTGATTTAAGCGTTCAAACACTAACAAACCGACATGATTGTCTATAGCAAGGTACCCATTCCCACCTGGGTGAAGTGAGAAAAATTCATGTAAAGTGCCTTTCTCATGAACACAATATAGGGACCTTGACAGGATTTGAACCCATAACATTCCAGTTGTGAGTCAGAGAGCCTAACCACTAGACCAACAACACCACAAATATCTCACCATCATCATCGTCATCCCCTGTACGGGCGTTCCCTTCCCCCTCGGGCTTCTGCGCCACTCCCAGTTTTTCATCGACTGCCGCAAACATTTTCTCGCGTCTGTTTGTCCGAGGTTTGCGCTGCTCAAGACTCGTCCCCGCGACGACGCCATCTGTCAATATGCGAACCGTCTGCAATAGCTCGTCCCGCTTCTTCATCAGGTCCAGCTGTGGAGTGAAAACGTATCTTGTCATTTGGTACACACAGAGCACAGGTGTTGAACTGTCCCCGTCGTTTTATGCAAGAAAAATTCTGAAATTATGCAAACTGAGCCCCAAAATATGAAATTATGCGATTCTGTTAATTTTAACAAACAATGATAAAGGAAAATAATAAGAAATGATGCAAAAAATGACCAAATTTTGCTAAATTATGCGGGGTGCATAAAACCACGGGGACAGGTTGAACTCAAGACCCACGGGCTACATCTTGTACGCCAAACAATTACAGTGGAAACCATATATAACACGCCCGGCAATAACAGGATCCGGTAATAACACGGATTTTTAAAATCCCCGTTTTTTCCTACTCTTTGTCTCTATTAAAAGTTATCGGCAATAACAGGGCCCCATCGGAGCCCCATCGGTTATTGCAGGGACAAAGGCTCGTTAACAATGTGTAAAAAGTAAGAGAAAGAGAGAGAGTGAGAGAGAGAGAGAGAGAGAGGGAGAGAGGGAGAGAGAGAGAGAGAGAGAGAGAGAGAGAGAGAGTGAGAGAGAGAGAGAGGGAGAGAGGGAGGGAGGGAGGGAGGGAGGGAGGGAGGGAGGGAGGGAGGGAGAGAGAGAGAGAGAGAGAGAGAGAGAGAGAGAGAGAGAGAGAGAGAGAGAGAGAGAGAGAGAGAGAGTAACGCAGTGATGGAGCAAGCCCATGCAAGCCACGCTATTGCAAGCACACGCGGCGGGTGAAGCGAGAGAGGGCTGCGGTGTGCTGCAGACCTTGATTTAGCCCGAAACCTAGCAACACGCACGTGTAATGTGTCACCAACGATGTCAAACGCAAGGGAAAATGCCTTTCAATTGACAAAAAATACGAAATAATCCAGGCTGTTGACAAAAAGCAAGCTCCACTGGCAGAGATTTGTCGTCAGTTCGACATTCCACAAGGGTCGATTCACACCATTATCAAGGATAGAGAGAAGATAGTGGCGGCACACTCCAATGCAAAGTTTGCTCTGGATCGAAAGAAGATGAGACTGCCCGATGCAGATGCTGTGGACCAAGCTCTTCTGATGTGGTTTAATGAGGCAAGGAGAAAGTTGGTGCCAAAACCCCTGTTCGTGGGTACTTGTGGCTAGGGAAACTACCCGTGAAAAAGTACAGCTAGATTAGTCCACAAATGCTTACTTTCCTTGCATTTCTGATTGAACAGGGATCAGATATAACAGGACTTTTTCTCTACTCCCACCATCCCTGTTATAGCAGGTTTCCACTGTATATGTGAGGTGTGCTGACAAAATTAGTTTTTTAGTTTTAGTAAGAGTTTTACGGCACTTGCAACACAATAAGATCATATAAGTGCCGGAGATTAGAGGTGTTACAAGAGATTAACAAACACAAAAAAGAAGGAGGGGAGAAAGAGACGATAGATCATGTTTGATAGGAAAGAAGAAGCAAACCACACCAGAGCATCCGTCAACCACCCACTGACAAAATGAGTGAAGTCTCAGATTTTACCCCCAGATGGCTACAGATAAATACATGAAATTTATTGGTTGAGTTTGTAAAATTTATTATATATATATCAAATGATAAAAGATATGTTTATCTGGAAGAAAAAATGGCATCCCTTAAAAATCTACAAATTTGATGTTTTTTTCAGCTGACGTCTCCACTCATGGGTCGCGAGAAGTAACTCATTTCGTCAGCACGCCTCATCGGCCCGCCCATGAGAGAAATCTAGGTAGTTCATACAGAAAATGTCCATTACACAGAACCTTACTCAAAACTTCAACAAACTTGCTGCCAAGAAAAGATGCCCCAAACATCCAGCACTAACAAATTGACATATATAGAGTGAAAGTGAAACATCACATCAAAGAATCCATCAACCTAAAACATCCAGCGGTGGGTGGTTGGCGGGTGCTCTGGTGTGGTTTGCTCCTTCTTTCCTATCAAGGATCAAACATCTATCGTCCTTATCTCCCCTCCTTCTTTTTTATGCTTGTTACTCTCTTGTAACACCTCTAATCTTCTGGCGCTCATATGACCTTATGCAGTTGCGAGCGCCGTAAAACGTCTACTAAAACAAACAACAAAAACATCCAGCAGAACTCACCCCTCAAAAAACCCCCCAAAACATTTTTTCAGCAAAAGTTTGGAAGTGCTTAATCAGCAAAAGTAAGTAAGTCTTAGTGTTTATTCAGCCAAAGTTTGCAAGTCAACTTAGTAAGAGTTTATTCATTTGTAAGTCAACTTAGTAAGAGTTTATTCATTTGTAAGTCAACTTAGTAAATGTTTATTCATTTGTAAGTCAACTTAGTAAATGTTTATTCATTTGTAAGTCAACTTAGTAAGAGTTTATTCTGCAAAAGTCTGCAGATGTTTACTTATTCAGCCAAAGTCGGAGCACATGAGAGAACCTGACCTTGTTGAGGATGAGGACGGCCGGGAGGTGTCGGTACATGTACAGCAGACGCATCACACCGGGGTCTAGGCACCGCACCGCCGCACGACAACTCACGTCTACCATGGCCGCCACTGGGGACACACAGACAGACAGTTGAGACACACAGACAGACACACAGACAGTTGAGACATACAGACAGACAGTTGAAACACACAGACAGACATGATGTACAGCAGACACGTCACACCCGGGTCCAGTCATCGCTTACGTCTACTATGGCCGCCACTAGGGACACACAGACAGACAGACACACACAGACGGATGGTGAGTCGCTGGTGGCGGTGGGGGTGAAGCTTACCTCTTGTCGCTGGTGGCGGTGGGGGTGAAGCTTACCTCTTGCCGTAAACGCAACAGATACATGGCACACAAATTGTGAAGAGTTTCCTTGACCTTTTCACGTCGACTTGTTTCAGTAAAGACAAGCACATTTTTTAGGATAACACAGGGAAAAATAAAGACAGACAATCAGACAGACAGACAGACAGACAGACAGACAGACAGACAGACATGACACAAAGAAGGAAAAGGAGAGTATGATCATAAGATTTTGCCGAGATGACTAGATGAAAGTGAAAGGAGACTTTTTTCCCTATCCGCACAATTTAGATCATATGTGAGGCAGCGTGGTGGAATCAGGCTCTCGTCAAAATAATCAAAGTGAAGAAACGTGCATTTTTCCCCAGGTTTGTGAATTTTTATCAAATTTTTGTTTTTGGCTCATCACCTTTCATGCCCATTAAAGAACTCATTTCTGTGTGGATTTTTCTTAAAAACGTTGATGAAAGGCACAAAAAACGTCAATTTTCAGTTACCACGGACTCTTAAGCTAAGGAAATAAATAATCTTTGGCGGCCATTTTCTCACTAATTTTACCTCTGAAAACAGGTGACCCCAACCTCCTTCATTCGCAAATATCTCAACTTGTATTCTAGAAAATGGATTTTAAAAAATCCAAATAAAGACAAGTGAACAAGCTTTAAGATGATACCAATAACTCTACATGCCCAAAAATTGACGAGAGCCTGATTCCACCATGCTCCCTCACATTTAAGTGTAAGTTTAAGAGGCGGGCTTCTGACCCTGGGCAAAGCCGGATACAACATCCCAGTCCCTCAGTTTAATCTTAACAAAAGAGTGAATTCTGAAGGTGAACTTTCTGTCTCAGGGTCCCACAGAATCACCAGGGACAGCTGCATCAGTGATTATTTCCCAAACGTTTCCAGAAAACAGGAAGAAACTCACGGCCCAAGTCAAACACTGACAGAGAGAACTCCTGATATAAAGAACAAGCACGGGCAGTAAAAATAGTTCTTTATATGGTATATATATATATATATATCAGTAGTTCTTTATTTCAGTCAACACATGCACACAAACATACTTCTGAGAAGGAAAAAAACGGGGCAAAGAAATGTGTTCTTTATTTCCGTCAGTTCTTGACAAGAGCCCCCCTTTTTATAGGTGTGCTCTACTGTACTTACCAATGTCAGCCGACGCCAGACTTCTCACAGGATCAATTTCTAACGATCGTTCCAGTTTATGTCTGAAAGGAGGAAATTAAATAGTAGTAAGTAGGCTACTGGTAAAAAAAAGTAAAAAGCAATACAGGCCTACAGAAAAAAATCACATGTCAACATTGCTTTGGAGACAGCTTGTGACATTACAGAGACTTTGTGAGGAATTGCCAGCTAAAAATATACAACATCAACAGTTCCTTTTACCAACGACATCTTCGTCATAACACACTATAAGTTCAGCATACTGAAACTTACACAATTCAGAATACAACAGTTTATAAAAATACGGTGGAGTCTAGTTAAAACGACCACAGTTAAATCTAGTCTGAAAACAGCAGTAAATAAATATTTTTAAAAAACAACACCTTTTTTCTTCAATTTGAGCACTTTCCACAAATGAAAACCTCACTAGTAAAAAAAAATTCCCTCATCCCGCATATTGTAGTTTCAGCTGACCCTTCTGTATATATATATAATAATTAAAATGATTACAAAGAAATATTATCCAAGACAATAAGCCGAACAAACAACCACTCCCCACCCCACACATTTCCTATAATATCACAATAACACCGTCTCAGACATCCACATGTCTCAGACAACAACTTTTCTCCTCAACAATGGGTGGCTGTCTTAGACAATGTCCACTGTACCTTTTCCTGCTGCCCGGCTGTAAAATTCCCGGTGTGTCTACAAAGACCTGGGATATAAAACAAAAATAAATTAATATATAAATAATTTAATAAATAAACACCTTTTATTAATCTTGTGGGGAAATTTGTGTTACAATGGCTAAAACACATATAATATACATATATACACACACATGCATACAAAGAATACCAAATACACACTATTACACTACTGTTGAATAACTCTGCAAACACGCCATTGCCAGTAGCAGCTGTGCAGCGCTCTCCTTTTTCTTGTCTTAGCTAGTTATGGTATCTTGCTCAAGAGAATAAAATGGTTTGGCCACCTACTGTTACGCATGTCACCGGACCAGCCAGCCTCGAGAGCCTACGACACCAAGCACTCAGGCTATAAAGGAAGAGGAAGGCCATGCACAAGGTGGATCGAGGGTGTCAAAGAAACCCTGAGAAATCATAATATCCCAACTGAAAGACCTGCGGAGCTGGCCTACCATAGAAAACTGCATCTCCCCTCGACGCTTAACAGCAACAGAGGATGAAAAAGTAAAAAAGTACAAGTAAGCTCAAGGACCCACTCCAGTGACCACCCATCTAAAGCGTGTGTTCCGACACTTGCTTGACATTGTATACTCACTATCTGTGTCCTTCCCTCGGTGAACACAGCTAATGTGTTCTCTCTCGTGGTGTGTACTTTATCTGACACTGAGCACACCTGAAAGTGAAACAAGATTCCCATTGATAATAACAATAACGATAATAATAATAATAATTTGATAATAATAATGATGATAATGATGATGAAGAAGAAAATGATAACAAAGGAAATATTAATTTGTCTGAACAAGCTTTTTGAAAAAAAAACCATGCAAGATATTCTCTACTAATGATCAAGTTGAACACAGAAATATATTTTGTGGAATCAACTTATGCACTGCAAATAAAAATTTTCATTTTATCTAACACAGATATTTATACAGTGGAACTCGGATTCAACGAGGTCGCCGGGCTTGATATAAAATCTTGTTGAATCCGAGTGTTCGTTATAGCAAACACGAGGTTTTGTGTAGATAATTACAGGCAACTTTTGATTCCATAGACCAGCGCACAATTCATTACGTAGATCTACGTCAAGACTAGCTTATCATTGTAATAACGATCAGTTGCCAAGGGGAAAAAAAAAAGACTGTGACGCGTTTGTATCTGTGACGTTTCATGCCCGGACGGTAGTAACCCCCCCCCCCCCCAATCCAACCCCGACACACGCCAGAGTAGACACGTGCGCGTGCCAACAACGCATGTGTTGGTTTGAAAAAAGGCCGCTGACTGGTCGCATGCAATCGACAAGTGAATAATGGTTCACGATGCAGGAGCAATGGATGGTTTCCTGGAATAGATAAAGTTCGTTTTGGGAGAAAAATGAGCAAAGCCACTTACGCGCGGGCTGTTCACCCTGGAAGTGCTCATTGAATCCGGGTTATCTTTATTGATTTTAAAGAAGAGAAAAAACGGGGAATCCATCTCATCTCATTGAATCTGAGTTCTCGTTGAATCCGAGTTCCACTGTAAATGACACTTAATACAACACATTTTGTGGAACCAACCAATGTTGCAAATAAAAACCTTCATTTATGTTACAGTGATCTAGACACAACAACACATTCAACATTTACCCGCCAGCCCATTAGGGCGTTTGTGAGAGTCGACTTGCCACAGTTTGGCCTTCCGATGACCGCCACGCGGAGCACTTTGGAATCTGGAGGTGAGTCTGGCTTCAGCAGTGAGATTCTCTCTTGTAAATCTGTGGATGAACAGATCTTCTGATCACCAAACATTACCATCATTAAAAGCAAAAATATGTGAAGTGTGCTAACAAAATGAGTTACTTCTCAGATTTTAGACCGATGGAAATAGAAACATCAAATTTATAGGTTGAAGTTTTACAATTCATCAGTATGATGAAGTCATAAAAGACATGTTAAACTTGAAGAGAATGGCATTGGTTTAGAGTCTACAAATATGACCTTTGTGTTGTATCTCCATTCATGGATTGTGAGAAGTAACCCATTTTGTAAGCACGCTTCACATACGGTCTGGTGGAGCTCAAATGAAACAAAAGATGTACTCCTGAATTCAATGGAAACAAATTTAAGATTTCAATGACTCCACTAAAGTCATGATTAACAATAACATAGACCACAGTTTGAATTTGAACGTTTATTATCCTTACAGCCCTCACAAGTGTTTTCCTTTCCCTCAGCCCCAGTCGCATACATTACTCTCACCGACTACAGAGAGCTGCCCACTTCAAACCCAGTTGTGTACTTTTAAAAGAATATATATAGTATATAGGCTACCGTCTCTGAAAAATATTCGTCACCTTATCTTCCTAAACCTCAAACAAAAGCAGCTAAAAATAATTCTGCAAAAAATGACAGCCACAATTAGTATTGTTTGGGCTTAAGCAGTCAAAGACTCCCATATTACCCGGGCCAGAGGGAAGTGAGGGCTAAAAATAGCCTGGTGCTGTAAGGGTTTAAAGAATTCAAAATGTGCCAGATCTGTGATTCTATCCGTTTAAGGATCTATTGTCCTGATCTCTCCTTCTTTTTTGTGGATGTTGCTCTCTTGTAACACCTCTAATCTTTGGCACTTAAATGACCTTATTGTGTTGCAAGTGAAATGAAAAAATGCTTACTAAAAAAAAATTTTTTTAAAAATCTATCCATGCAGCCACAGGTGAATATATTATATGGCTGTAGGTAATCCAATGACAGCAAACCTGAGGTTCTTCCAACCATTCGTTCTCCGTCAACCACAAACTCTTCAGTACAACTCGAGTCCTCTGAGAATGAGCTCGGGTTGTTTGATTTCTCGACCTCTGCATTGTCCTTCGACAGAGACGTGAAGCAGACACATCTCTGTTTGAAGAAGTTGAGGGACGCTCGCTGCAGCAATTTCTGCTTGAGGCTGCCGGGACACTCCACGGCGCCGGCCACCAGGGGAAGTCCTTGCCGGCACAACCATCTCACAATGCACCACGTCATTGTCAGGGGGAATAACCTGAGAGGAACAATTGTAGAGAGTTACACTCGACTTAGCCAGACTGCAGGAGGAGGAGATCTGATATAATATAAAGTGAAACTCACTCTATATGTATCGGTTAAAAATATACTATCGGCTGTGTAACACTCATTTTCTGAAGTCCCATTCATTATTTTAAATCTTTACTCTTTTTGGCTACAACATACTTTGGCTAAGGTATTTATATAAATCCTAGATCTAGATCTAGGTCCGAAGAATATACACTGATACCAAGGCAGGTTTTACTGTAGGCTGTAGGTCAAATAATCATACATGAATAGTAATGATACGATACACTGTGCTCCCTGGCTTAAAAAGTAGTAAACAGGAACTGGCACATAAGGTCTATTAAGGTCAAGAATTAGATCTTACTAGACTCTAGTCTACTCTAGATTCTAGATCTAGAATCTATCATCTTGTAAACAAACAAGTTATCACTGTCATAATAAGTTCTATGCAACAGTCTCTACTTTAGCCAGCCTCACACCCGTTCTGGTCTCTGTTCCAAAAGTTACAAGAAGCAAATTCGTGTTTTCCAGAGTCCACACACACACACACTGCACAGACGTAAATCTAGATTCTAGATCTAGACGTTGATCTTCTCCACTCTGCACACACACACCACCTTGTGCTGTTGCGAACGCCGAAAAACCTCTAACAACTAGATCTAGTCTAGGCTAAGATCTAGACACTAGACACCAGAACATCCAGCATCCAGCCCACTTCTCAGTTTTCATCCAGAGTTGTTTTTCCCTGCTCCACTTTTCCACCCCGACTTTGTGTTTGTTGAATTGATTGTAACAGCAAACCCGGCCGTTTATAACTACATTCGGTGTTTACTATTACATTCTCAATCCGATAAGAAGTCCTTTTTAAAATTATGTACGCACTTATAGGAGATAAAGTTTTTCAGTATACATAAAAATCATTTTAAGTTTAAAAATGTATGAAAAACCATAGCTACTTGCTTTGGTGAATCATGTTACGCTTCGTTGCCAAAACAATTTTATTGCGAAATACATTGCACATGAAAAGTCCAAGTGTTCTAGTTTTTCACTCTCACTCACTCTTGGCTTCTTCAGCAGACAAGAGGATGCAATGTCGTTATCATTTCACTGTCAGAACTTGGCCTGGTATTTGCTTCAGACTCGGTACGGATTGTTCCTTGTTTAGCTCTCAGGTCAAAGAATATATAAACAAGGATGCAATTTTTAGTGATTAAGACGCATGCGTAATATTGATTGGATATTTGTTGGTGTTTACATATTACATGAATTTGATTAACAGTGAAAGTGAAGCCAGTGAATGAAGGTGAAGTCAGTGCAAGTGCAGCCGAAAGGAAATATAAACAGACAGACAGACCCAAAGCCAAGAAAAAAGGTAGATCTAGATTCTGTATTTAGATATCTATATTGAACTCGTGAATTTTATTCAAGTTTTGAAGCTGTAGGCTCAAACATACTATTTTTATTTCCACGTTGAAATGGAAAAGTAAAAAAAAAAGGCAGGCTTTTAACTTTAACTTCATAAAATTATTTTAAAAGTAGATTAGGCCTCTATAGAACTATAGACCAGGTGTATCTTCTAGATTCTAGATCTACTGTCTCACTGTCTGATCTGGTCCAAAAAAATGAGGAGTAAAAAAAGAAAGCTTTTTTTTGTCCCAGGCCCATTTCCTTGCAAATGACACCAACTGGTTAGTAGAATGAGGTAGCTTAAAATGTGCCACTTTCCCCTGTTTGATTTTGTATATAGAGAGTAGAGGGTTTTTTTTTTTTTTTTTGGGGGGGGTCGGTTAGTTTGTTTTTTATTGAAAAAAGAACTGGTACATGTTTAAAAAGGAGCATTCATAATGCGTTACCCACTTTCATCTGGGGTTTTTTGTGTGTGGGTGGGCTAGTTTGTTTTTTTAATCGAAAAATGACTTGATACATTTTATTAATCAACAGTCATGTGCATGGTTTTGTGAATACACGAGAATTTGTTCATATCTGGGATTACAGTCTGAACAACTGAATATTTTAAGTTTTTTGCTTTCAGTTCTGTAGATAGGACTCTGGAGCACTTTTTTTTTGTCCTGTGAATAGACCATTTGTAGTAAAATGTGGTCAAGTCCAATGTCGTGCTATTTTTCTTCTCTCAGAATCAGACTTGTAAATGGAAGACAACAGCTCATCTCAACCATCGAAAGATGATGGAGTGGAGCCGGAGAACTGCGACAACGTTGAGGACTCACCCAAGTCGCCCAGGTCACCTTTGAAAAAAAATCCTGCGTTTGATTCATCGAAACTCATCGAGAGATCTCAGTCTGATGCCATTCTGCTGAGCTCGGAAAACTTGAAACAACCTTATGCCCGCGCAGGCTCTGTGGATTACATCGGTCAGATCATCAAAAATAGTGTCTTAACTGGCAATGTGTCTGAGAGCTCAAAAGTCTACTTCGATCTCTCCAACTTTGAAAATTCGGAGACCGACGATGATGACGTGGTTACGCCCACTTCCAAAAATAGAAAAAAGAAGCGGCCGTTGAGCACTCAGAGCAGCCGCCTCCTGATGACGGCCCGCGGCCTTGAGACGATTCATCAGGGTGTCGAGCTGGCGGAGGGGGAGGTCGCGGATCAGGATGAGGTCAGGGAGGTGTCCGAGTACGACAAAGACATTACGTTCGAAGCGGCGCCCGGTGAGCTGGAATTCCTACCTCCTCACCGCCGCAGCGTTGGGGACTATGAGGAGGGGATGGGCTCGGGCCCGCCCTCGTCTCCAGCCGACGACCTTGACAGCAGCGACGGCAGCACTTGCTTCTACACCAAGTACCCGCTGCGCTTCCCGCACGGCTACTCTCTGAGCAAGTACCGACACAACCTGAAGCTGAGCTACCAGACGTTGTCGCAGAAACTTGAGCAGCAGATCATCCAGTTGAGAGGTTTGCATGTTGAGATCGTTGACCTCATAGACGCCTCCACTACATGTACGCACTTTCTTTTGGTTATTTTCTTTGCTTGCCTTTTTCGTTTCAGTACTTTGCTTCCTGCTGCTGTCTCGAGATGGCTGTGTACTTGAATGAGAGAGGTGGGGGTGAGAGAGAAAAAGGGGGGGTGGGGGGAAGGGATGGCAGAGAGGAGGAGGGAGGGGAGGGATGGGGGAGAGAGGGGGCAGGGGGTTGGAGAGAGGGAGATAGAAAGAGAGTGGGAGGGAGGAGGGGGGGAGGAGAGATGTTAATTTCATTCATTGGAGGGTCAATGAAGAATATATAATGTCTTTTCCTTTAGATTATATTCAAGATATTTAAAGCAGGAAGCAAAGTATAACATATAGCTTTGCATGAAAACTATAAATTAGTATGCACTAATATTAATTTCTGTTCCAGTAAAAGAGACAGCTTGGCAGCGTGCCAGTTTCGTGCTGGGTCCCACATTAATGATTGACGGTTCCCTCAGTTTAATCTGAGCTACTTTTACTGAAGTGGGAGAGATCGGCCACTTTTGTTTCTTTAAATGAAAATGTGAAAGAAAATATTTTTTGTTTGCTCTTATCCTTTATAATATTTTCTAATGAACTAACAAGATAAACTCTGTGTCTGCTGTGTAGATTTGCATGATACACTGATGGATGGCAACCATCTTTATGAGAGCATACACTGACACCAGTGTCTGTCGACCCAGCTCCAACATCTGTTGGTGATCTTCATCGTATAGCCATAGTTATAGCCGGTCGTCGGGTGTATACTTTTATGGTTAAGAAAATTTGTTTTTCCTGTTTTTTTTCTTTTTAACAAAAGTAAGGGGGGAAACCCAAACAAACCCAAACAAAACTCAAGTCCTTTCATAAAACAAAAAAAATTGTTGCAAATTAATTTTTAAAACTTTCACACTTCCACAGTGAAAACAAAACGGCAAAAATGGCGTGGGATGTTTTTGAAATGAAATGTTCCACCACTTAGACCTAGAGCTGTTTATAAGATAGAAAAATGAAATGTGTTCTGTTTCCCAAAACTAAATATTTCTGACCATTTAGGTTCCGTTGCATGCTGACTCGTGTTTTGTCGTTTAATTTGTTGAGATGTTTGTGTAGTTAAGCATGCAGTCAGCTAAAAATGCTGGTCTCTTGTGTTTACTTCTGTTCTTCTCTTCCCCGTACTTCTCTTGTCTTATATTTCTTCTCCACTTCTTTCTGTTTTTCCGTCATTAACGCTGTTGGTGTTCTTCTTGAGCCCTTGTCAGGTGGTATGTGATGGTGGGTGGTTTGAGTGAGCTGCTGGCAGGTCCTACTTGTTGTAAACTCTCCCTCTGCTGTTTACTCTCCCTCTGAGTGGGTGCTTGGAGGGTGCTCTGGTGGGGTTTGCTCGTTCTTTCCCATCAAACATATGTCATCCTTATCTCTCTCTCTTACTTTTTTTTGTGTACGTTACTCTCTTGTAACACCTCTAATCTTCGGCACTTAAATGACCTTATTGTGTTGCAAGTGCCATGAAACTTTTGCTAAAATGATAAAATCTCCTTCTTGATGTTTTTCTCTTTCGGTCTCGCTTTCTTGCAGCAGTAGTTATTTGCATTGACGCATGTCTGTTAACCTTTACTAGATAAACTCTCTCTTGATGCTGATAGTTCAATAATGTTAAAAGACTCATTTATCTAGCAATCTATCACACATACAAGTATAAGCTCTGAGCACTTTACATCGATGATATAATTACTTAGAATAAACCATACTCGTACGAGAAAAACCATTTCATGATCCATGCAAAAAGAAAACCAGTTCAACCACATAAGGAAGAACTTTCTCAACCATACATATTATTATTGATTTTATACGTGACAGCATTGAAAAGGAGACACATCACACCTGCTAATACACTTCCACTACGACTTAAACAATTGAGTCTACGTGCATTTGAGGAATTGCTGTGGCTTTTGACCTGTCTCTTGGCCTTGGCCTATACAAGATGGATGTTAAATCAGAGGTCCGTGGTCTAATCTTTTTTCACTGTATTGAGAGGAAGATAAAACACACTTTCTTTTCCTGTGTTTTCTTTGACAGTTGAAGCTCAATCGTATGCTTACTGAGATGAGTATCTAGGACCATAAAAATGTTAACAAATGAGTAATTGTTGGCCTAATTTGTCTTTGGTATTTCCTTTTGTTTAAAAAAAAATTGAGTTGAATTTTGATGTGTGGTTCTTTGCGTAATTATTATTATTTCAGTGTGAAATCTTTCATTTTCATGCATGCTGAAATATTCTGAGTATGACAAAGCTTGGTTCACAGCTTGTGAAAATGTTGGATGGTGTTGTGTTCTTTTTCAGAAAAAGACTTTTCAGTTAACGTTTTGTTTTTTTGTGTAATTAAGTAAAAAAAAATTCACTGATTTAGTGTGGTGTGTGTGTGTGTGTGTGTGTGTGTGTTTGTGTGTGTGTGTGTGTATGTGTGTGTGTGTGTGTGTTTTGCGGGTTTCGGTCCTGTTATAGGTGTGTAGCGTCTTGATAGGTATGTTATGTTGTTCAACTTCCTTTTTGACCCCGTCCAGCCAGGTCTTTCTTGGTCTTCCTCTTGATTTTAAGCCGAATTCTTGGGTGATTTAAGCTCTATTGTGTCAATTGGGGTGTAAAAACACTTACTTTAGAAAAAAAAACCCATTGATTGTTGTTTGCCGAGTAGACTGACATCTTTTATCGAATATCCTGGTCTTTATGCCAAAATTTTTCCCTCTTGGCCACCTCCTAAATGATGCAAATTTTGTCAAAAGGGGTGTAAAAAGATGTACACTTTTGAAACAAAAATGATGATTGTTATTTGCGGAGTAGACTGACGTG